TAACTACTCTCTCTCTCTCTCTCTCTCTCTCTCTCTCACACACACACACACACACACACACACACACGTTCCCCTTATCCCATATTCCTTATCATCCTACCCATGAATTTGAGAACGTCCTCTTTACTAGACAGCGGTCCGACTGCGCCAGCCCGGGCTTTCCTGTGTTCAGAGCTGAGGTCTCGCCAGGAGGGGGTATCCAGGTGTTCATACCTGGGAAAATGAAAACAAGATACAAGATCAAATGCATTGTTCTTTCTGTCTTTTTTCCCTCTCTCTTTCTTCCTAGGTCTGTCTGCCTCTCTCTGCCTCTCTCTGCCTCTCTCTGCCTCTCTCTCTCTTTCTCTCTCTCTCTTTGGGAAACCTTGGCTCGCCACCGAAACATATAAACATATAAAATTAGACACCTACATATTGTAAAGATAGTAGCTACTCGCGGAGATCCAACTTCTCCTGGCTCACCACCCTCCTCTCTCTCCCTCTGTCTCTCTCTCTCTCTCTTTGGGCAACCTTGGCTATATCTATACCAGCGAAACATATAGACCTAAAACTCAGACACCTACATATTGTAATGATTGTAGCTACTCGCAGATCCGACCTCTCCCGGCTCGACGGCGTGAACAGAGACCAAGTTTCTCGCTTCCCCCTCCGCGGGCGCCACCTCTACTGAGTACATGGCGTTGTCCCCGTCCTTGGTGCTGACGGCGAGGTTGTAGGAGTATCCAGTGGCCAGTCCAACGCCGGAGCCTGTCCTGAGGATGTCCACGGCTTTCTCCACGGACGCAGCCGACAGCAGGGCGCGACACGCAAACCGCTGAGCTGGAGGCAAAACACAAGGAAATTGCTGTGGGGTCGTGTGGGAGTGCTCGACTCAGAACCAAGAGGCCCCGGGTTCGAGTCCTGACATGCCACCGATCTTGGGAAATGAGCTTTATCCGACTTTCCTCACCTAACCCAGATGAAAATTAGTACTGTCCTGCCTCTGCGTTGTTGGCGGAATAAAATAAGTTGGAAAGACTTACCGTCGCCAGATATTGTGATAAATGTTAAAATAGAAAAAAAAAGTAGACAACGTTGGTCTAAGGACGGATCATGGTCATATATTTTTCGTTAGCTAGTACTGCAGTGTTAGAATACAAAGTTCAAAGCATTCACATTCCTTCTTTCTGTGAAATATGTGGAAGAATATGAAATACATACTATTATGAAGAACAGTAAATTGACGTGTTAAGAATATACATGTATATTGTAACAGAAATACATGTACGTCTGATGTTACAGTATTGGTCCCCCTATCTGTACAATGTAGTCCCCCTATCTGTAAAATGTAATAGTGCCCCTATTTTCACAATGTTTAGTCCCACTATGTGTATACAATGCAAACATACATTTCAACTGTACGTACGTATTTTGTCTTTCTCCACACACTTTGCCAGCTGGAAGTTACCGGCGGTGCACAAGCCGTGCAGGTTGAAGCCATATGCGTTCCCAGCCAGCAGCCCGGGGTAGCAGTAGGCGGTGAAGCTTTCTTCGGGGACAACCTGTGCGAATAGTGCAATAAGGTACTTGATTTGATTTTGATTTATTGAAATTGCAACAGTACAATACACGCGGCGGAACAAAGGCAGCTGTTGCTGGTGTTGTGTCCCGCACATAGAAACAAATACTGGACAGACAGTACTCATTTTCACTTGAGTCTAGTGGGGAAAGTCGTGTAAAGTGTCTTTTCCAACAGCACAAGATCGGTGGCATGTCAGGACTCGAACCCGGGACCTCTTGGTTCCGAGTCGCGCACGCTGCCGGTGGGGACATACCATTGAGAGCTTTATAGACGAGTGTTGCTTTGTTTTTGCGGTGTATGTCGGTCACTGGTAGCCATCCAAGTGTGTTAAGTACGAGTTAAGTAGCGATGTAGCGATCACAGCCAAGGATTGTGCGGTCTGGTTTATTTGGAAGTTTCTGGAGTTTGTCCATGTGACCCTTCCCTCCCTGGTCCCATACTGTACTACAGTAGTGTATGTGGGGTAAGAATAAGTTAGTGTATATACATGTAGCTTGCAATGCTTTAATTGCCTGATTACTCCAATCACCTGTGCTAGTTTCTTGTTCAAATGTTGAAAGTGTATTGTCAATGATGACCCTTGAATACTTGAATACGTTCATTTACTTGCTCAATGTTCTCTGGTTAAATAAATAAATAAACAAATAAACAAACCTCTCCGCTTGGCAGCTCGTAGGGCTCGATACTAGCGACCACCACGTAACCCAGGGCTTTGATGAGCGAGTCCCCGTCTTCGTTGTGGGCCAGAATCCGAGGTCCGTTACGGACGTTAAGATATACAGTTGTACAACCTGGAAAATGGTAGAGAAATGTGTTGGTTGGTTAGGAGTCCAGTTACCATGGTGACAGACGTCTGGTCCAGGTCATTGACTTTATTTGAGCAATTGAGCTGAGCAAAACCAATACATTTTTCTTCTGCGAAGGTAATATAAACTAGAAAGGCATTATTTGCTAAGCAAATGCATCATATTTAACTTACCTGACCCAGCTTAACAAATACTGTTTTGTTCTTAATCAAACACACTCATGTATATGATGACCATGCAGCCCCTCTTGAGCTCAGTTCTGCATGGCACTTGCAACATTATCGAACCCAACACCAGTTACCATGGTGACAGACATCTGGTCCTGGTCATTGACCTTATTTGTATACTTATTTGAAGAAGACGAAGACGGGAAAACTAAATAACGATAGTTAGCAAAAATAACAACATGCTTCCCCTCTTCGAAGAAAATATAAAAAAAGCTGGCACCTAAGGCTACTGTACCTTCTGTCTCAACCTGGGAAATGATAGGGAAACGTGTAGGTTGGTTGGGAGTCGTGAGTAAGGTTTGGAACGGAAGAAGAAGAGGAAGAAACTGAGCAAAAACAGTATGTTTTCCTTCGGTAAACATACAAAGCTGGCACCTATAGGCTACAATACCTTCTGTCTCGGTCTCCACTTCCTCCTGCTGCAGGGACATGAGTGTGAACTCTGATTGACAGTGCATCAGGAAGAGATGTTCGAACGGGAGGCCAGACCCTTCCGACATCCCCACTATCTCATCAACATAGTGCGGAAACGCGGACTTGGCAGCCTTCAAGTAGCCTGGAAAATTCCAAATCAAACCGTGATAGAAAAAATGTAACTAGAAAGTTAACATTTGCAATGCATAATGTTTACCTTCGCATATGGTTTGCTTTTCTTACTCAAATACATGCACATTCATATATATGGTCAGACAGGAGTCTACATCCCTCCTGATTAAAAATTGCAACATTATGTAACCCAACACCAGTTACCATGGTGACAGAAATCAACAAATCAGGCCATTGGCCAGGTCAGAGGTTAGTGTTTGGAACAGAAGAGGAAACGTAGTTAAAAGGCCAGGTGGTCCTTATGTAGAGGTGGTCACTAGTACAGGTTTAGTGTGTATCAATGGCCAGGTGGTCCTAATGTAGAGGTGGTCGCTAGTACATGTTTACTGTATATCAATGGCCAGACGGTCCTTATATAGTAATGGTAGATCAATAACCCCATCCTCATCCCTACATCTGCTTGAAGTTTACAAAGACAGTGAACTTTGAACCTGTACCAGTGGTACAACAAGTATCATGAGGCCCCTGAGGGGATTTTAACAGTCCCTATGAC